AGATTTCACCTAAAACCTAGAGAAGCAAAATGGCAGACATAGGAAACCTGGTGACTGCCCTCAGTGTGGGTGGTAGTTATGTACCTAGCACTGCAGCTGCCCATTATTTTCAGATACTGATGGATGCTGAGTAGAGGTCACCACTCTTGATTAATATAACTGGGGTTTCCACACACACGTCTTCGCGAAAACTATAAATTTTCAGGGCCTCCCTGGTGGCGCAGGGGTTAAAGACAGCACTATCAAGCTATTCCAGCCACTGCAGCAAGAGTTCGATACCCCGCCAGCCAGGAGCAACCCACATGGCACAGCAGATCCTTCCAGTCTCACCCACTGCTCCCCTCAGCAGTATATTTCAGGCAATCTGCTTATTCTGCTCCCCACTCTGTCTCTGGTGAATCCTCTCACCCCCCAACACCTCTGGCCTGTACCCCAGCTCTTGTATGCATAAATAAATAAATCTTTAAAACTATATAAACTTTCATATCTAAAGTAGCTTCAGCAATGAAGGATAATTTCTCCTTGAAATGCTAGGTTCACACATTTTTACTACTTCTATTCTCCCCACTAAACCTGTTGAATTTGTTAGCAACAGTTTTCTTTCTACTACTGCCACCTCACTCTACCAGTTTTTTCCCTTGCTCATTCATTTTTTTAGGTCATACTTTTGAATCTTCTTTATGGACAATTCTTACTTCTCTATACTTGAGGTGATTGTTTCCTATGTAAGATTATTACATTTCTATTGTTGGCTCAGAATTACACACAATAGTAGAGAGACATTCCCTCAGTACAGTACACTGAATATTCTAAGCTGTGACCACTTCTTTCTCCCCGCCCCACTCTGTACAATATCCTCATGCCAGATATATTACAGCAGTCATACTTTACACGCATTGATGAGACTGCAATTTAGGGAAATTCCTTGTGACCCAAAAATATATTAACAAAATGGTAAGCAAAACACCAGCCCTGAATGCAGAACTTGGGGACTAAGGGCCTCAGAGTGATGAGGTTGTTGACTAAGAACAGGCTGAGTCTGGGAGCTGGGGAGCTGAAGTCAGAGACTAAATGGACTCACCATCAGAGAAAGACTAAGCGAGGAAAATACACTACAGACTAGGAAAATACACCTTCTCTAATAGCTGTTTCCCCTGATATTGTGTTAACTCCTACTCTGCGATCAGATATACACCATATGTGCACGTGGGAACTCTAAATGGAGGGACGCGCAATCTTCATGACTAGGAAGATTCAGTGCTATGAAGCTGCTATTTCTACAAAGTGATGTGCCATTTGAATGCAAGTGCCATTTAAGTCCTAACATGATTCTTTGGAAAACCTAAGTTGGTTCCCAAATTACACAGAACAAAGGAACTAAAGAAACAGGTGAGAGGACTTGCTTAAATATCAAAAAAAAAAAAAAAAAAAAATTCTACAAAGCCATAGAAAATGCAGATGTTTGGCATTAGCCCTGGGGTAAACAATAAATTAGTAGAAAAGAGAGCCCAGGAAACAAAATCCACACACAGAGAAACTTACATGACAGAAGCAGAGGTGCAGGTCAACGGGGGACAGATGAACTGCTCATTTATGGCTTTCAGACAGCTGGTTATCTGCACATGTAAAAAACGTGAATTGGAATCCTACAGCACACCATATACATACACATGTAATTCAACATGAATTAAAGATGTAAATCTTTAATTTTTATTAAAGCTTTATTTATAACTTATAGACTATAGAATATCTTAAGGACTTCTTAAAATACAAAAAGTGTAAAACAGGGAAAGCCTAATAAATTTGACATTAAACTTAAATTTCTTCTTTTTTTAAAGATTTATTTATTTATACATACAAGAACTGGGGTACAGGCCAGAGGTGCGGGCAGTGAGAGGATTTACCAGAGACAGAGTGGGGAGCAGAACAGGCAGACTGACTGAAACACACTGCTAAGGGGAGCAGCGGGTGAGACTGGAGAGGTCTGCTGCGCCATGTGGGTTTTTCCCTGGCTGGAGATCAAACTCGTGCCACAATGGCTGCAGATAGCTTCATAGGTTGCGTCTTAACCCCTTGCACCACCAAGGAGGCCCCTAAACGTAAATTTCTGACTGAAATGCACAACCTGATCAAACATCTAGACCTAATTTTCAGTTTACAGGACATACCGAGGTTGGATGACACCATGAAGACACCATCAACTAATTCTAAAATGTGGAACATTCTACCAAGCAACGGGATTGAATGCTTCAAAAAGCCAATGTCATTTTTCAAAGGGGTTGGAGGTGTAGGGGTGGATGAATCAATAGCAGACTATTCTAGATTGAGAATAAAATGATAGGAGCAATCCACAATGCAGGAATCTTAAGCCTGGGTTTGAAAACAAACCAAAACCTGAAAATTGCATTCTTGCGGCAGTCAGGGAAATCTGAATAGACTGTAAGTATAGAATTACACAGGGTTGTTAATCTAAGTGTGACAATAGTATTAAAGACACTTCCTGTTTAGGGAATATGTGGTGAAACCCTGAAAGGTGATATGTCACACGTCCTGTTTACCTACACATTGTTTATGAAATGTTAGATCTGGATGGAAGGTAAATGTATGTTCATTGTATTCCCCCCCACGAGTATATGAGACTTTTCATATAAAAAAGTTGGGGGGGGGGCTAAAACTTGGGTGCTTCCAAGGTAAGGGAACAGAGGGCCCTGTGGAACATGGTGGAGGACCATGGGGGCTTTGCAGGTGGGTAGGGTGTGAAAACAAAAATTTGTAGAGGTTTGAAACTATAATCCCTAAAACAATTACAATATGTAAACCAACTTCCTCAATAAACATAATGGTCACAAAATGAAAGATGTTCACATCTAATCATGAAAATGAATTACTCACACTCTCTAAGTAAGTCCTTAAAAGGCAGGCAACATGAAATGGGCAAAAAACATGAAATAAGCTTTTCAAAGAGCAATCAGTAATGAATAGATATGAAAAGATTGTCCAGTTTATTAGCATTCTGGAAATTCAACTGAGACTTCCACTCTGGCCAAAATGGAGTTAACAGGGGCAGGATTTGCCTTCTCCATCTTAAGTAACTAAAAAACAGTACAAAATATATGCACACGTTTTTAAACATTGGACAGCAGCTAGTGCTGGACAGTGGCTCTTGAGAAAAAGCAAACAAGGAAAGCCCTACCATTGTTCAAGCTTCTTGCATGGAGTTTCCAGGCTATCGCACTAGGGCAGGGGAGTCCAAAAAGAGCCTGGCAGCTCCGAGTAGAGAATTTAGAAGAACCAAAGTAAAATCGGTAGGGCAGAGTCTAGTGAGGAGGGAGAGTTCCAGATCTACAGAAGTTCCCCCCTACAACCCCCTGATCATCAAATGAATACTAAAAAGTGTGTACACATGAGGAAACTACCCAAGGGTGGAACCACCAAAAAAGCAGCAGTGCAATTTGGGGAAATATATAGGCTCCAAATAGTACTTGTTCCCAATAGCCAGAGTGAAGAAATCTCAAAATAAACCAGGGAAAGGGAAAATTATTCAGAAGGCTATTGACTCATGAATGGGTCAGATTAGCCCTAAATTAAAGGCGCTTCTGGTCCCATCTCATTAATCCTAAAAGCAACCTATGAAAGGATCAAACTTCTTCCAAATAACTATATCCCAACGCTCAACATAATTAAAGGAATACCAAAAACTCTAGCACCCAAAAATGTAAAACCCCAAAATTCCCAGGCATGGAAAGAAGGAATTACAACTCAATAATAAGGGAGATCAGTAGATAATGACACAGATAATAGAATGGCCAACCACATTAAAAGAGCTATTAAAAATACACTCTAGATGTCATAAAACAACAGCAGAAAGCATAGGCATGTTCAGCAAAGACACAGAAAATACAAAAAGACCCAAATGGAACTTCTAAAGAAAAAAGTATAATGTCTGAGGTGAAAAATACACTGGACGGTATTAACAGATTAGCTACTCTAGGAGAAAAGATTAATTAACTTGAGGACAGGGCCTCCCTGGTGGCACAGTGGTTGAGTGCTGGGCTGCAAAGCTGCCCCCAGCCTCTGCAGTGCCGGTTCAATCCCCGGCCACCGGTGAGTGTCCCACTTGGCGCGCAGACCTCTCCTGCCGCGTCTGCTGCTACCCTCAGCAGTGTACTTCGTCAGTCTACCTGTTCTGTTCCCCACTCTGGCTCTGGTGGATTCTCTCACCCTCTCGCGCTTCTGACTGTACCCAGTGCTTGTATAAATAAATAAATCTTAAAAAAAAAAAAAAATTAACTTGAGGACAGAGAAATGGAAGAGAGAAAGAAAACAGGACTTAACCCAAACCAGCATCAGTGTGCTGTGCGAATTGTAAGTGACCTAACAACAAGCAGCCTGAGCCCCAGAAGGAGATGAGGAAGGGGAGGAACAGAAAACATAATTGAAGAAATAATAACTAAAAATTTCCAAATTTTCTAAAGCATAGACCCACAGGTGAATAGTCCCAATAGACATGGAAAAAACCTATACCAAGTACATCATACTGGCTTAACAGCAGTGATAAAGAAAACCTTAAAAGCAGCCAGGGGGAAACAACACATTACACATAGCACAGAGGTAATAGTAGCTTTCTTTCAGAAAGTCAAAATAAGGTTACATCCACTAATGACTTACAAAATTAAAACATCCGAAATCAAGAAATGTTGCAGATGACGTGCGGAAAAGCCAACCCACGCCGAGCTGGCCAGGGATGTGTAACGCCCGCTGTGGATTACGATTCGACACCAACTGTAACGCCAGAGATATCCAGGCCACACACCCAACAGTGCTCCTAGATACAGATGCTCATAGCAGCATTGGCTCAACAGCAAAACAAAAACAAAGTCCCAAAGTCCATCAACGGAAGGACAGAGTGTGGACTATTTATATAATATTACACAGCAATACAGATGAATGACTCTCAAAAACCACTAAGTTGAAAAAAAGCAAGTCACAGAGGTAAACATACATTATACCATTTATATAAAATTCAAAAACATACAAAACTTAACATTTTATTTAGGGATACAAACATGTTTTAAAGCTATAACAACAAGCAACTGGATGACCAACACAAAACTTAGAATAATAATTACTTGAGGGCATATAGGGCACTTCTAAAATGTAGGTATATTCTATCTTAAGCTGATTGATGGGTACACAGATCTTTATTATTCTTTATACTTTATATATACAAGTTTATGTATTTTTATTTTTATGTATTTTATGAAACACTTCATAAAAAAACAGTGGAAAATGTGACTTTAAAAAAAATGAAGCACACTATTTATGTATAACAATAAAATTAGTGTAAAAAAGTATACAAAGAAAATGTTCGATTCTTTATTGTCCTTCAGTGTCCCTTATAATTGGTATTACTCTAAAAGGGCCATAATCCTAATATGGAAAAAAAAAAAAAAAAAAAACAAGCAGTTAAAGACTGCTTTGACACAAAACCTGAACATCTGATATTCTAAGTTAGACGAGAGTAAATATGGGCGCCACCCACGTCAAATACTTCATGTTTCATCTGTACTTCGATTTTTCTTTATCTTTGGACTTCTTAGGACTCCTGCTTCGGTCTCTCTTTTTACTCCTTTCTCTCTCATAGTGATCTGCTTGGTACTTGGACTTGTGACTACTGCCGTAGTGGCCATCCCTTTCTCGGGATCTGCTACGACTTCGCTTCTGTGGTCGGTCTCTCTTCTCACTCTTTTGTTTCTCCCAACAGCTTTCTTCTTCTTCATAGTGACCAAAGCCCATTTCCCTGTAGATATCCTGTCGAAGGAATGGCGAGCGAGTTACAAGTAAATCAGTAAGATCATCATTCTATGGGCACGGTGATTAATAAAAACTTAGACAAGTTCATCATTAGCAAGCAGATGAAACAGCTCCAATTTGAACACCATCATTTGTGCCAAGAATCTTATAAATTGAAAAAAAAAATTCAGAGAAAGATTTAACTATTTCTCTTAATGGCCTCATTGCCTTGTATCTACTATTTTAGCTGAACTGAAAGATCATATCCCAAACCAGGGAACTGAAATTGCTAACAGAAGTCAGAAGTCTTTAAGACTTTAAAATCGCAATATCTAGATCCTGGTTTTGGTGGTCACTCTTTCTGCCTTCCCTTCTCAACTCTCCCAAAATGTAGTTGCCTCACTGACCTGAAATGAAACTAAAATTTCCACAAGAGTCCTATAAAAGATCCTATAAAACATAATTTAAATAGCATAGTTGGAAGAGGTGTTAGACAAGTCAATCAGTCTAAAAAGAAAATTGATAACTGCACTTTGTTCTGAGTGATTATTTATAGTGTTTTACAATAGCTCCTCTCCAAACTTTCAAATTAATTTTTCTTTAGATTGATGTTTTTTTTTTTTTATTTTTTTTTTTTTAAGATTTATTTATTCATTTATACAAGCACTGGGTACAGTCAGAAGCGGGGGAGGGTGAGAGAATTCACCAGAGTCAGAGCAGGATGCAGAGCAGGCAGAAGGACCGAAGTACACTGCTGAGGGGAGCAGCGGACGGCAGGAGAGGTCTGCGCGCCATGCGGGACCCTCCTCCGGTGGCCGGAGAGCAGCCGGGGATCGAACCAGCGCCGCAGAGGCCGCGGGCAGCTTCGCAACCCAGCGCTCAACCGCTACGCCACCGGGGAGGCCCTAGATTGATGTTTTTATTAAAACTATTATTTACATATTGCTTAAAATGTCAATAATGCATTTCATACTATTCTTAATAATTAATTAGCAGTAGAAAATTTCCTTATTGGAAGCAGTAGAATTTTCCCATAGGACTGCCTTGTCCTATCCCTAATTACAAAGATTATATCTCAGCAAGTAAGTAAAAATCTAAAGAGACCAAAGCCAACACTCTTTTAAGAGTCAATTCAAAATTTCACCTTTCTACAGATTTCTCAATAGAAGGGCAGAATTCTAAGCACTACACCCCCAAGAGTATCCACTCTGTCAACTTAAATATTATTATAGTTGATGGAAGTGTCTAGCTTTAAAATCCAGAGGGATGGATGTCAAGGGTTAAGGACTGAGTTTCAAGCAAATGATTAAAAATTATTTCATATGCTCTCTGGATATAGAAGATTACATCTGGCATGGAATTTATAATACAAAATATAACTTGACTGTTATAATCAAAGTGGAGTATATTTGTAGAGTATATTATAAGCTGACTCATGATTCTGCACCAGTCCCAACTGCCCTTGTTATCTGTAAGATCTGGGAGGTAGAAAAAATGAGTAGGTACCTTGTTTTAACCCCTTACCAACTATTTTCTAGCAAAATAAGACATCCCTAGATAAAAGAATTGTTTTGCTTCCTATAGCACATATAAAATTTAAGTACCTATGTATTATTCTGTCTGTACACCTAACAGTTATTTTTGTATTAGTTGAGACACAGCTTTTTAAATGTGTAAACTATTAGCTGGCGGATAACTCCATAAACTCTTCAGCACACTATACAAATATGCATTTAAATGCTTTGAGTGTTTAAAATAACAGAGAGTTTATATAGTACTTAAATATGAAAACATTAAAGAAGTTGAAAATCTGAAATGGACTAAAACCATAAAACCTCTCTGACCTGGAAAAGTTTTCAAAGTTAACAAGCTTTGAAATCCAGCAGCTCTTAGGTGCAAGTGGTCTTTGCTATTTAGGAGATGTATCAAACAAGAAATACTCTCTTGAGGTTAGATTCATCAGATAAAGTTTCATAGAGAAATTAGGAGTTGACTTGGTCATCAAAGAGTGAGTGGGTTTGGGCTTGAACTGGTTGCAAGAAGGCAAGGAATGTAAGCAAAAGATGAAAAGTAGGTAAGAATTAGCAGCAGGAGAAAAGTTTAGATGGCTGGATGAAGCCATATCAGAACAGATACGCTAGGCATGTGCTTTTGCAGTGTAATATTACCCTCACTCTAGAAATAAGGAGGTCGAGGGCCAAGAGACTGACACAGGTTGAAATAATTATTTAACTGATCAGTAATGACATGCAACACAAAACTGAAATGGGGGTGGTAAAGAATAATGAAAAAAATAAAACCCACACCTGACCAAATCAAAATAAATATCAAAGTTCTAGCTCTCCTACAGAACTATAAAAGGCATAATCTGTAAGGTCAGGATCTTCTTATTTAAGGAGAGAAAAAAATTAATTAGATGGGCTCCAAGTCCTTCCCAGTATGGACTTTTAAAATTTCAAGACTAAAGACAAGATGACTAAACTAGCACATGGTCAAAAAAAGAGGGTAGGGGGCGGGATTTGAAGCAGAATACTTAGTGAGGCTAATGACTTACTATAAAGTAATCAAAATCAGTCTAAGCAACTAAAAGCTAAAGTCTCTCGGGCTAAATAAGAGCTTTTCATTAAATCACTGAAACGACACTCAATGAGTATAAAAACAGCAAAGCAGAGGTCCAAATCATAAGAATCGTAAGCACCCATGAAAACACAGTGAAGGACTTAACAACTAGTGTGCATACTTCTCAGGCAGGCAGCCCACAGCTCAGCACCCATTTCCTGTAACCACAGTAAAACACAAACCACAACAACAGACACATCTTTGGAATTAAAACATGAGGTGGAAAAACCAAACAGAAGTTTTCAAGTCATACAGTCAGGTTGCTGCTCAAAAAAAGACAAAGAACTTGTAGAACTAAAGCATTCTTAGGAAACTAGGTTCACCAAACAAAATACAAACAAAGAGGAAAATTTAAGCTATACTTGAACATTATAGTAAGTGAAAATTCCCTTTAATGAATGTATTTTTGAGACTGCAATCAAAAGGGTAATAATCAGAATAGAGAAAAATAGGGCCTAATGAAATCTTAAACACTGATGCTGTTTTATTAAAAAGAGAAAATCAATATAGCCATATTATTAAATCAAACTATAAAATTAAAAACCACTTTAATACACTTTGGGGGAGGGCCTCCCCAGTGGTGCAGCGGTTGAACACTGGCCTGCGAAGCCGCCCGCAGCCTCTGCAGCACCGGTTTGATCCCCGGCCACCAGCAAGGGTCCCACATGGCGCGCAGACCCCTCCTGCTGCACTCGCTACTCCCCTCAGCAGTGTATTTCATCAGTCTCCTGTTCTGCTCCCCGCTCTGGCTCTGGTGAATCCTCTCACCCTCCCGCGCTTCTGACTGTACCCAGTGCTTGTATAAATAAATAAATAAATCTTTAAAAAATATATATACTTTGGCAGAGAAATAAAGTTAAGATATTATTTAGAACTTAACAATTTTAAAGTCGCCAACCAATTTAAATATATTTTTTTAAAGAATATAACAGTATTCCCCATGCCCTTTACTCCATGGAAAAAGGAAAATATTTGCTACTATAAAGTTATATGTAACCAAGCAGCAGAAGAAAAGAAATTCATAGAAGAGGGAAAGGCAGAAATCACAGAAATAAAAGGCATCCAGTCTTTGGATTTCTTTAGACCTCTGGTTATCTCAAACACACTAATGTTTACCTCAGGCCTAAATTCACTGAAGATGCGTACACATGCAGAATGAGGAGCTACAGCTCGAACAACACATGCGGAGGCGAGATTAAGGGCTTTATAGAAGAAAACACACCAAGTATTCATAGAAACATAATAAAGCCACCATTAAAAAAGCTTAATAACCTTAGGCTAAAAGAGTACAGAAATAAGAGGCAAATCTTCCAGTTAGATCATGGTGGACTATACCACATGACAAATTATATTAGAATAGCAAAAGGATTTAGGAAAGAAAACTGGTGAGAATATATGCCAGGTAAGAAGAGCAGCTATGGAAATTTATACCTCTGCTGAATGACAGCAAAGAGCAGGGATATTTTCTTATCTAGAAAATAGGAGATCAGGATATATACAAAAATGCTTGGTAAAATTAAAAAATAATGAATAAACAAAAAACAATCCACATAAAATGGTTATCTACTCAGAGAGAGGACAGGGATAGAAGGTAGATTCTCTGTATGTACCATTTTGTAACTTTATATTGGAATCGAATAAATAATTTTTAAAACTATGAATTTTTTTTTTCTAAAGATTTATTTATTTTTGCATACAAGAACCGGCGTACAGGCCAGAGGTGTGGATGGTGAGAGGATTCACCAGAGACAGAGTGGGGAACAGAACAGGCAGACTGACTGAAATACACTGCTGAGGGGAGCAGCAAGCAAGGCAGGAGAGGTCTGCTGTGCCATGTGGGTCACCTCCCTGGCCAGGGATCAAACTAGTGCTGCAGTGGCTGCAGATTGCTTCATAGGTTGCATCTTAACCCATTGTACCACCAGGGAGCCCCCTACAAATGTTTTTAAAACAATGCTTAAGCACAGAAAAGAAACAAATTAATTGAAATTTGAATTCAGCTAATGGTCTTACCATAGAGAAACTATTTCAAAGAGTAACTGGACTACTACTCTTATTTAAAGAGTAACTGGGCTACAACAGTAAAAATAATGATAGCCTGGGCCTCCCTGGTGGCGCAAGGGGGTTAGCACCACACTATGAAGCAATCCGCAGCCTCTGCAGCACGTGTTTGATCCCCGGCCAGCCAGGGAGCAACCCACAAGGTGCAGCAGACCTCTCCTGACTCGCCCACTGCTCCCCTCAGCAGTGTACTTTGGTCAATCTGCCTGTTCTATTTCCCACTCTGTCTCTGGTGAATCCTCTCACCCCCCACATCTCTGGCCTGTACCCCAGCTCTTGTAAGCATAAATAAATAAATCTTTTAAAAAATTAATAATAGCCAGCACAGAAAATGTTTATAAACAACATACCTGAGACATTTTCTCACTTACACAGAAGAGGAAACTGTGGCTCACAAAGTTAAATAGCCTATTGAGATCATAAGCAGTGTAGAAATTTATACTAGCTTCTCTACAGCAAATCCTCTACTGGGTTAATCATACTATATCTCTCCATCTCTTTTCTTGGCTTGGCATTCTCACCATCTTGACAAGTTCTATCTACCCAGTGAAATCCTCCTGACCACGAGAGCTCAGCTCAAATGTCCTCATGTGGCAAAACAAAAGCAAGGGGCTATAATGTATTTTACTTTTTATTAAATTGAGAACAAACAGCTAGCTGGAAATTATTTCTTCTCTTCACAATCATTTTCTTTATGGAATTTTTATTATCATTGTCTTACAAAATGTATTTTCAGGAAAGCTTTTGAGATGATCAAGTTAATTATTAGTGCTGCTTTTTATTTCATACATTGAATACAGAAGGGCATAAATGTCTTACAGATCCTAAAACCTCAAGTAATATAGGTGAGGGGCCTCCCTGGTGCCGCAAGGGGTTAAGCACCACACTATGAAGCAATCCGCAGCCTCTGCAGCATGAGTTCGATCCCCGGCCAGCCAGGGAGCAACCCACATGGCGCAGCAGACCTCTCCTGACTCGCCCGCTGCTCCCCTTAGCAGTGTACTTCGGTCAATCTGCCTGGTTTGTTCCTCACTCTGTCTCTGGTAAATCCTCTCACCACTACCCCTGCATCTCTGGCCTGTACCCCAAGTCTTGTATGAATAAGTAAATCTTTAAAAAAAAAAAAAACAGAATTATAGGTGATATCACAACACTTGGTGATAAATTTAAAAGAGAAATGAGAAAAACTTTTAGCACATTAGTCTCACTCATAGCAGGAATCTAGAAAACTTAAATAAGGGACCAGGAAAATGAATAACTATAAGAAAGTGAAAATCAAAATCAACAAAAAACTATGAACCAGAGACACTTTTTGAGGGGTGGGGGGCGGGAGGGGAGGGATTGGGGTCAGAATGGGGGGGTTGCAATTGTATGGGGGATATAAAAATAAAATTTATTATAAAAAAAAAAAACTTTTAGCACAAACACACTTGTTTTTGATGACACTAAGCAAGTACCCACAGGTCTAGAAATCAATCTTGCCTCACAATGTGGAACTATATATTATTTTAAAAACAATCATTTATAATTTGTAATACAAATTCCTGAAAATTAAAGCTTATCCTAATGAAATCATCTAGGTTTTAGAGTTTGGAACACACCCACCTCTGTTCAGAACTGTACCCTTATTCTCTAAATTTTATCATTAAGCTGTAATTAATAAAGGAGTAAAATATTTCCCTAGAGTTAAGCCTGTGTATTAGTAAGTACTGTACCTGGTTAGTATTTTTGATTGGCATGTAGTCTTCATCTTCTTTTTCCTCAGAGCAGTGACGGGTTTTCTTCTTGTGCTTTTTACTTGTATGTGAGTGACTTGATTTTGAATCTTCTGCCTGCTCATCTAGTATAAGATCATATTTTGCACTGTAACAGTTAGTTAAGGACAAATGTGAAAACTGACACTGGTAATACATTAAACATAAGAATCTATTAAAAGCATCAAACACATTATTACCAAATTATTACATTTATGTGAGTCCTGACACAATCCTATTTCTTAACAATGAAACACACTATAAAAAGAAAACACAGATTACTTCAACATTTATGAAAAATCTGAACCAATTAACCGTACTGAACATTCAACAAATAACAGTGTCCTAAAGTTCACCGCATGTACCAATGATATTAGCTTTGTATAGGGTTTTAAAGTGCCTCATAGGGGCCTCCCTGGTGGCACAGGTGATTGAGCATCACACTGTGAAACTGTCCGCAGCCTCTGCAGCACAGGTTCGATGCCGGCCAGAGGGAGAGAATCCCACATGGCGCAGCAGACCTCTCCTGTCTCACCCGCTGCTCCCCTCAGCAGTGTATTTCGTCAGTCTGCCTGTTCTGTTCCCCGCTCTGGCTCTGGTAAATCCTCTCACCCTCCCATGCTTGTTACCCAGTGCTTGTATAAATAAATAAATAAATCTTTAAAAAAAAAAAAAAAAGAGGGAAAATGTGTCATTTTCTATTTCATCCTATCAAATTCCATTTTCACTTTTACCCATGAACATATATTACTACAGCTAGTGTTTTAAATGGACTTTATTTTGTTGTAGTACCAGGAACTAAAATAAATTGCTTCATAGTTTGTTTCCCTTTTGTTGCTTGAAGACCACAGAATTTATAATGTTAGTTCTCCTTCCTGAATATATATAAGGACCTCTAGAATTTCAAAATACTCAGGAGGTATATACTGTATGAGGTATAAAAATGGACATAGGAGTTTTAGAGAAAGATTCACACAAGATAAAAATGAAATACATAATACAGTTACACTGATTTATACTACTAGGTTTATTATTCCAAAAATAGTAACTGTATGGGAAAAATTAAAGATTTTTTAAACAGATTTATTTTATTTACTTATGCATATAAGAACTGGGGTATAGGCCAGAGGTGTGAGGGGTGAGAGGATTCACCAGAGACAGAGTGGGGAGCAGAATGGGCAGACTGAAATACACTGCTGAGGGGAGCAGCCAGCAAGAGAGGAGAGGTCTGCTGGGCCATGTGGGTTAGCTCCCTGTCTGGGGATCAAACTCTGCCACAGTGTCTGACAATAGCTTGAGAGTGCTGACACTTTAACCCCTGTGCCACCAGGGAGGCCCAAATTAAAGGTATTTTGAAACACTAAATCTTTTAATAATATATTAAAAAAAAATTTCAAAAAATAATATACATGTGGATCCCTTTTATATTAAGTAGGAGCTGTAAAGATAAAGAATTTTAGAAGTATTTAACTATATATATATTTCAGGGTGTTATCTATGAAATCCATTATAAACAAATTGTTTTATATTACGACCCTGTTAAAAGTGTTTCCCATACACACTCACAAAATTGCCTGATCTTCCTCCTTTACAGAATTAATCATGCATTTATACTCAGATTGTATTTAACCACACATCTAATTAACCACACTTCTAATATATCACATTGTATTATGCTGGAGTTAGTTGAATATATCTGTCTTTTCTTTTAAAGATTTATTTATTTATGCACACAAGACCTGGGGTGCAGGCCAGCGATGGGGCAGGGGAAGGGTGAGAGGATTCACCAGAGACAGAGTGGAGAACAGAACAGGTGGATTGACTAAAATACACTGCTGAGGGGAGCAGTGGACGAGACAGGAAAAGTCTGCTACACCATGTGGGTCAGCTCCCTGGCCAAGGATTGAACTCATACTGCAGTGTCTGTGGATAGCTTCATAGTGCTACATCTTAACCCCTTGTGCCACCAGGAAGGCTCTCTCTTTGTCTTTGCATCAAATAAGATATCTTATTCACCTCTCTGGAATTTGTGTATCTTACACATAGTAGACATTTAACAGGATAGTATCTACATTGTTCTGAAAAGCAGTAATAGCATTATGGGATTATGTTTAATGACAGAAACTGGGAACAACAAAAAGCCTAGGAATAAAGATATACTTAAATACATTATAGTACTATATTTTTATTATAAAAGAAGTTACAAACAATGGTGAATACTTTGAAAACATCTGCAAAGGTGTTTATGAATAATTTAGTGAAAAAAAGCTTAAAGCAAAAACTATACCTGATTATAAACTTCATATAACATCAAGGCTTGAAAGGAACAAAGGGAATGAAAAGCATCATTTGTGTAGGTGGTAGAACTATGAGTGAATCAATTGCATGATTTAATTCAGAGGTCCGTATTTTCTCTAATATACTCTAATGCCTCAGAATAAGAGAAAATGTTCAACTAATACAACATCTGCTAAAAATAATTTTAAACTAGAATGTATTTTGAGGAAGGATGACAAGGACTAAAAGAGAAGTTTTCAAAAGAAAGCTTAGGGCCTCCCCTGGTGGCGCAGGCGGTTGAGTGCCGCGCTGTGAAGCTGTCCACAGCCTCTGCAGTGCCGGTTTGATCCCAGCCGGCCAGTTTCGGCGAGGGTCCCACAAGGCAGGGCAGACCTCTCCTGTCGCACCCGCTGCTCCCCTCAGCAGTGTATTTCGTCAGTCTGCCTGTTCTGTTCCCTGATCTGTCTCTGGTGAATCCTCTTACCCTCCCTCACATCTGGCCTATACCTCGGTTCTTGTACAAATAAAAAAAAAAAAAAAAAAAAAAGCAAGCAAGCTTAGGAGAAGGCCAACACATGGAGCTATTTGAGTGGCATGTGGACAGACTAGTGAAGACAGACACACTTCCCTCGGGACTAGAAGTTACCATGAAAGCCACAGCTCTGTGCTTTCCTTGGAGATATCACTTCTACTTAAGATTCTACAGAAAAACACTCCCTTCTGGCTTTTCACAAGATGGGGACCTGTACTGCCCTAGGACTCTTCCATTATCTCCCATGCTTTTCTCCTTAGCACCAGGCCACACTGCTTCCAGAGCACTTCTGGATCTCCTCCTATTTCAGAGACAAATCCAACAGTCCTACTGAGTTCGCCTTGGAGCGTGCTATAGACATGCTACTCCCTCTGTCCAAAAGAGCAGTTTTTCAAACTGATGATCATAATCCATTAATGGGCTATAATATCCATTTAGTGGATTCACAGCCAGCATTCTTTAATAACACAGAATAAAAACTACAGTGTGTGGCACCTAATGAACACAGTATTTCAATTATGTGGGCTTCTGATTATACTTGGATTATATTGATTTCAACTGTATTTCTCAGATGATGCTACACAAAGAAAACTGCATCCTACCTCAGCTCCCTTCTTCCCCATATTCAAGTTGCATTTTCAATGTCACTCCTAATGTCGTGGTACTTGAGGGTCTTTGAGGGTACTTGAGCCCCAGATCTCAAAAGTGTACTTCTTGAAACACCATAGACATATTTAATTAGTGACAATTATTTAAATTCTGTGCTTCCCCCAAACCCAACAATAAAATGTAATGTCCACGTGTGGGGGTTGGAGGGGCTGGTGTTTCACTGCTAAACTGGGCATGTAACAAACACCAAGTAAGAATTGTCGATTACGTGTTATACCACCAACACACTTGGGATATTTCTTTATTTCATCCTTCCTCACTTAGCTACTATCTTCTATTCACTACTGCAAACAACACTTTTAGAAGGCACCAAATCTCTCCGAAATCTTATGTGTTAAAAACAACTTTGCAATCTCACTGACCTCTTTTCTCCAATTACTTCTCTGAGATTGAGTTTGGTCAAGTTTACCTTTCCTTTCTCCCTACTGCTACTTTTGAACCTTATTATTAACAGTCTACACCTACAGCAACTTCACTTTCTCACTAAACCCGTAAGTACACCTGAGGCCTTTTTAATTGATTTAAGACAATTTCTCTACACATATATTATCCTCTGAATCCCCTTTCCTTGCCATAGTAACATGTATCATAATACATTTAAAAAACTAGATGAGTTATCTCTAATCTTACATATTATAAACATATGTTCTGTCCTTTTAGTATTATACCTGAGATTATAAACACCTTCCTAAAATAAAACCCGTTAATTATCAAGAACATAAAGATTATCCTACTGGGTTGGATTCATGAATTTCTTTTTGGTTCAATATTCTATTGAAAATGATTAAGTAGTTTGTGCCTGAACATGTTTCTTCTCCATCAACTTCAAAAGGCTAACAGCAGCACTATACAATATAATACAATACTAGTCAGAGTTTAACATTAATTAAAATTAAACAAAAGTCCATTCTACCTGCTCACTAGCCACAGCAGTAGCAGCTGTACCTACAAGGACACAGGGTGCATGTCCAATACTACCAACATGCCTAGCTTCCTTTTTAACTCTTACTAACCTATCGTCTTGAATTTAAAACATTTTAATGCTACGTACTCTTTCTTTTCAACTTGAATTACCTATAAGGGGAGAAAATGTCTGCATCTACTTTATATTCTAAGGTTGTACTTCCTTTTATTTGTTCTACATATTCCCCTGTCTCCATCTGCAGTTACTAGTGGTTAGCCTTAATTTAATTTCAAAGATCTGGTAAATAAATCAAGGTGTATTCATCCACACATGTTATGATTCTAAGATTTCAATCACATCAGCTCTAATGTTATTATTTTCAGACCAAGTCTTAGCTTTCTGTTTGGCTTGTCACCATGTGAAAGTCTCTCCTTATGCTGATTAAGTCAGTATACTTCAGACAGTGTCCAGCTCTTATGCTTTACAATGTTTTATGCATTGTAGACAGCCACTTTTTTAAATTAATATATAACAGTTCAACTTGATATCCATCTTTCCTTGATGAATACTTGAAAAAGAAATGTCTATATAGTATGGGAAAAGAGAAGCCCTAAAACACCAACAGAAACTAGGAAACAAAGAAACCATTTACCAGAAAGAATCTCACAAAAGAAATAACCTTTGCAAAGTGTGGAGTGATTGATTTATAATGAGAATATCAGTGAACAAATTGAAATGACATAATATAAACAGTATGTTTCATTACTTCTTACTTGTCTCAACCTAAAACTTGGAAGAACCTAAATTAACTGGTCAAGTCAATGGATTTTTTAATCCTATAAAACTCTTACACATATTGGGAGCCCAATAAACAAATGTTGCTAGACTGACAATGTACAAGACAAAATGCAACCCAGTCAGGTAAGAGAATAGGATTTGGTTAACATCTCCAAAGAAGTTAAACACACTAGGAGGGCTAGCACAAAGGATAGAGATTAGCTGTAACAAAGAAATTTCTGATTATGAGGAACTTAAAACATTACAATTATATACAAACAACACAAATCTTACCTCAAGCTCTTCTGAAAGTGAATGGTAACCTAAGAGAAGGGAGCTAAAAGAATCAGGCTAAAGATTTTTCAGCCCTAACAGAGAATACACACAAATACAAAGCACGTATGAAAAAGAGAAAAAAGAGATAACAATATATTAAATGATTCCTCCCAATCTGTATTTGGGAAACTTGTCATCTACAGCCTTTGTCATTTTTTATACTGTACCACACAGTATCCTACAGAGTGAATGGTCGGAACATACTAATGGCCTTTTGTAAAGGATACTCCTGTCTGGGCTTTACTTTGTCTTTCAGAACCAAATTAGATGGTTTTTCCTGCTCTTTTTCATACTCCTTGAAATCACTCTTGGTATATTTCCCACCTATTAAAAAAAGAAAAAAAAGACAGTAAGAAAAATCACCAAATCAAAAATATAATTTTAAGAGCTATTATATATAAAGTTATTTTATAAATGGCCTTTATATGAGCAGGCCGGAAGAGAGCGAGAAGGAACAAAAGCATCATAGGAATTCATTCTCCATTACTATTTTAACTGCAAGCAGATCTCCATTTTGCTAGGTAGCCATCTGCTGCCACCTAGTGATATACATGAATATCACAACACCAAACTTGCAAATCCCAAATCAGAGTGTTGTATATACACTGACTGGAAAAGAATGCAGTGTTGAAGTACAGCCATTGAGTCCATGGGAACAATAGGTCCACAAAGGAAACTGAGGCCTGGGACCTGAGTCTGAGAGCTGAGAATCTTGTAAGTTTGGAAGAAGTTAATTTTTAAACTCTTCTGCTCTGTCAAAGAGGGTGTCTAAAATTTCAATAGAGCAAGTAGATAGGGGATAACAGAACATGGATATAACTCACCACTATTATTCAACATAGTATTAGAAGTAACAGCCAGAACAATCAGGCAAGAAAAGAAATAAAAGGAGTACACATTGGAAAGGAAGAAATAAAATTGTAACTATTTGCAGATGACATAATAGATACAGAAAAGTCTAATGACGTCACTAAAAAACTTAAACAATAACAAATAATAATTATTATTAATAATAAATAACAGAAAAGTTAGAGGCTACAAAATCAATATTAAAAAAATGTTTCTATATGCAAACAATTAACTGCTGAAAAGAGAATTAAGAAAACAATTCCAGGGCCTCCCCCTGGTGGCGCAGCGGTTGAGCACTGGGTTGCGAAGCTGCCCGCAGCCTCTGTAGCATCAGTTCGATCCCCGGCCACCGCAGGAGGGTCCCACATGGCGCGCAGACCTCTCCTGCCGCCCGCTGCTCCCCTCAGCAGTGTACTTTGTCAGTTTGCCTGTTCTGCTCCCTGCTCTGGCTCTGGTGAATTCTCTCACCCTCCCGCACTTCTGACTGTACCCAGTGCTTGTATAAATAAATAAATCTTTAAAAAAAAAAAAAAAAGGCATCAGTATGTGAGAATGATGAACACATACTTTAAAAAAAAAAAATTAAGAAAAAAATTCCAATCACATTAAAAAGAATGAAATACTTGGGTCTCCCCGGTGGCTCAGTGGTTGAGCGCTGGGTTGTGAAGCTGCCTGTGGCCTCTGCAGCGCCAGTTCGATCCCCAGCTGCTCCCCGGCCACCGGAGGAGGGTCCCACATGGCGCGCAGACCTCTCCTGCCGCCCGCTGCTCCCCTCAGCAGTGTACTTCGGTCCTTCTGCCTGCTCTGCTCCCCACTCTGGCTCTGGTGAATTCTCTCACCCTCCCGTGCTTCTGACTGTACCCAGTGCATGTACAAACAAACAAACAAACAAATAAATAAATAAAAAATACATGCCTCTTTAAAAAAAAAAAATTCTTTAAAATTAAAAAAAAAAAGAATGAAATACCTAGGAATAAATTTAGACATATGGAAAGACCTGTATACTGAAAACTATAAGACACTGCTGAAAGAAAACAAAGACACAAAGAAATGAAAAGATACTCTATGCTCATGGATTGGAGGAAGTAACACTATTAAAATGTCCACATTGTCTAATAAAACAATCTTCAGATTCAGTGCAATCCCTATTAAAATCATAGTAACATTTCTCACAGAAAAGGAACAACTATTTTTAAGAGTTGCTAGAAGAACCAAACACCGCAAAGTTATGTTAATTACATGTCACTTCTACAATGAGTAATTACAATGATTTATAATATATAATAATGATAATTTGCAGTAATAAAGTGATACATAGAAAAATATATTCTTCATCAGGTTAAAACACACACATACCCCTTCATCTGAAATTCTAGATAGCAGGAACATAAAATCATGAAGGTAGGCACTAATTATATCAATGTACATTTCTCCAAATTAACAGCACTGAGTCAAGGAAGAAAGGAAGGAGGGAGGGAGGCAAGCATGCAAAGCAGGAAAGAAACAAAGAAAGATGAACTGACAGACCTTTTCCTTTCCATTTAACCTTTGCAACAGACTGGCTAAAATCCACATGTATTCTTCGGTCATCTATAAGTACATTGTCCATTTTGAAGAATGCTTTCTCACAATCTTCTTCCTGACAATAATTATAAAAACTCAAGCATATATCTTTATAGGTAAGATTCCTGTAGCTAGAAAAAATACTGAAAACACAAAAAGTTTATAGTTACTGAAACAGATATTGACATGATTGTTATGCACCAAGTACTGTTAAATACTTTGATTTTATTATCTCAGTTATCTGATAACAACCATAGGAGGTAATAGCTATTATAGCCATTTTTCCTATGAGAAAACAAAGATTTAAAGAGGTATATATTTGGCAAGGGTGAGGGGCAGGATTTGAATTGAGGTAGTGTGCAATAGACTTACATATGCTTACCGGTTGTGTTATACCAGGCAATAATCCCTTTTACTCAACACCCAAAAAATATTCTGACAACTAAAAGTCCTTTTTATAAATTTGGTGTTAAAATCCATTTGACAACAAAACACTTTTTTTTTAAATTCCACTTAGTATGGCTAGTCATTTGATTCACTGCGTAAGTACTTTTGTCATTGATCATGGAATGCTGGCCCAGAGACGTATTATGAATCTACAGATGTACACCTGTGTGCTATGTATACACACACATACACAGAGGATTACCTTTCTATATTCTGATAAACTCTAAATTCAGATAAATAGAAATTCTCAAGGGTTTTGGATAATGAATTATGGGCTAGGAGACCAAGGTATGTGTTACACAAGAATTCTTCTTGTCGGTAACTCTACAAACCCTATACCTCCATTTCTGAAGACTAGAAGTAATATATTTCAATCAGCATGGATCACTTTCCTCCTATATTCCTGCATTCTCTGGTCTGTTCACAACTCATAGAGGCAATTCAAACAGAAGCAGACCTCTCCTGCCGCCCGCTGCTCCCCTCAGCAGTGTACTTCGGTCCTTCTGCCTGCTCTGCTCCCCGCTCTGGCTCTGGTGAATTCTCTCACCCTCCCGCGCTTCTGACTGTACCCAATGCATGTATAAACAAACAAACAAATAAATAAATAAAACATGCCTCAAACAGAAGCAAATAAAAAAACTAGCTTAATCACATTTACTTAGCACATGTCAAGAATTAAATGAATCATAAATTCCATTAAGATAAAGACAAAGCTTTATTCATCTTTGTATCTACATCATATTAGAACATCTTCTGGGGCCTCCTTAGTGGCATAAGGATTAAGTCTCAGTGCTATCAAGCTATCACCAGCCACTGCAGCATAAATTTGATCCCTGGCCAGGGAGCTGACCCTCAAGACACAGATGACCTCTTCCCTATCTCACCCACTGCTCTCCTCAGCAGTGGATTTCAGTCAATCCACCGGTTCTGTTCCCCACTCTGTCTCTGGTGACTCCTCTACCACCCCACATCTCTGGCCTATACCCCAATTCTTGTATATACAAAAATAAATAAATCTTTAAAAATAAAGAAATCTCTTCAAAATTGAGAAATCCATTTAAAAAATGCAACATATAAAAATATACAAGACAACCTTCAAAAAGAACTCACATCATCTGGGCCTCCCTGGTGGCTCAGGGATTAAAGTCTCAGCACTACCAAGTTATCATCAGCCTCTACAGCATGAGTTTAATCAGCATGAGTTCAATCCCTAGCCAAGGAGCTGACTGACCCACATGGTGCAGCAGACCTCCCCTGTCTCGCCCGCTGCTCCCCTCAGCAGTGTATTTCAGTAGATCTGCCTGTTTTGCTCCCCACTCTGTCTCTGGTGAATCCTCTTACCACCACCACCCCACCTCTGGCCTACACCTCAGATCTTATATGCAAAATAAATAAATTTTTTTTAAAAAATCTCTCACTTAAAAAAAAGCTTACAGATATAACACTGAGCAAAAGCTAGACACAGAAAACACACTACTGTGATGTTTACAATATAGAATTATGTTATTACATTTTATATATGTTTAAAATTAAACAAAACCAATCTACATGTCAAAAGTAACAGTGAGGGGGTCTCCCTGGTGGTGCAAGGTGTTAAGTCGCAGCACTATGAGGCTATCTGCAGCCACTGCAGCATGAGTTCAATCACCAGCCAGCCAGCCAGGGAGCTACTCACATGGTGCAGCAGACCTCTCCTGACTCACCTGCTGCTCCCCTCAGCAATGGATTTCAGTAGATCTGCCTGTTCTGCTCCCCACTCTGTCTCTGGTGAATTCTTTCATGCCCTGAACCTCCGGCCTATACCCGAGTTCTTGTATGCATAAATAAATAAATCTTTTTAAAAAAAAAAGTACCAGTGATGGGGAAATTATTATAAGGGGACACAAGGTATGATTATGGTCATTTTTTTTTCTGTTAATGTTTTATTTCTTAGCCTAGATAATGGTTTACATGGGTGTATTAACTGTTATAACTCATCAAACTGTTCACTCACGAGTTGTACATATCTGTATTTTACTCAGTTTTTAAAAAAATTTAGGTTAAAAAAAGCACCCACACTGTATACTCAGTGAGGAACACTTACAAAGATACCACCACCCATGAGAATTATGAAGCAGAATAATATAAGCTTAATTTAATTTGAAAGAGAAAAGGTTTAAAAAAAGATCCACCTTAAAAACTAAAATATTGACTCATGAAAAGGAATTCATGGATTCCACAATCACTCCATGCTCTAAAGGTGAAGTGAACTACATATTCATGGAAAATGGAATACCTGCAGGAGACTGAGATACACAAGCATCATTAGTCTATATGCTAGAAAGGAAATGAAATTATATTTGTGAGCAAATAAATAATACATCCTAGAGTGTCAGTGATGGAATGAGACTGTCAGGTATACAAAAATACTCCACAGCGAACTGAAGGCAGAAATCTCATTTCTGCTAGCAATGACTGTTCCTTGTAAATACTAAGACATCTGATATTGTCCAGGTATAATCTGTTATGTGTCTGTCTTCCCTAAGCCTCCATATCCATCTTGTAGTCCTTGAAAGTGCTTGATAAATGCTTTGGAATGACTGTAACTTAGAAGGAGATACAGTTGGACATACATCAGTCAAAAACTGAATAAAGAAACACCTAGCCTGGCATAGTGGATAAAAGCAATGGGAACAGAGTCAGACATACCTAAGTTATAATTTCAGCTGTGACAATCACTAAGGGTAGGATTCTAAACAAGGCACATTATTAATATGGGTCTCAGTTTACTTATTTGGAAAAGGAGGACAGTAGCTATTTCATAGCGCTGTGAGGATTAAATGCAATTCAAGGAGCATAATTCTTAGTTTAAAGAAAGTTACTGAGGGGCTCCTGGTGGCGCAAGGGGTTAAGCATAGCACTATTAATCTATCCTCTGCAGCACGAGTTCTGCAGGCCAGGGAGGTATCCATGTGGCACAGCAGACCTCCTATCTCGCCCACTGCACCCCTCAGCAGTGTATTTCAGTCAGTCTGCCTGTTCTGTACCCCCACTCTGTCTCTGGGGAATCCTCTCACCCCCTGCACCTCTGGCCTGTACTCCAATTCTTACATGCATAAATTAATAAATATTTAAAAAGAAAAAGTTACTTAAGTAACATAAGCTATCATTATTATTATAGATCTGGAAGGTACCACCTAATTCAATATTCAACTTAAAGGATAGGAAGAGGTTTAAGGCCTAAAAAGAAGAGTCTAAGTAAACTGTCAAGTATCATCAGTGGAAGAGCTCAGAGAAAAGTCATCAGTGGCAGAACTCGGACTAATACCTTGATCTTAACAATCAGGTCAGTTCTCTTTCTATTACTTAATTACATAACTACCAAAAAACACTGAAAAGTCATTCATAAACTGTAAATGACTTCACCTAAAATTTAAAGTATTAAAATACATTCACAGACTTCACTTGAGCCTAAAGTAAAGGTAAATAAAATAACATCAACAGAGGTAGAATTCATCCCCTATTTGAATATAATAATGTTGGTTTATTTAGTACGTGAAGAAAGAGCAAACTAATATTCTAATCGTAGACATTAGAAAAATATCTATATTTTTATTTTAATACCATATAGGAAAAAATAAATAACAAACTTAATATATCTATATTATGACTTACCTTTTCGAATTCAATAAAGGCATAACAGAGGGACTCTCCTGTCTTCCAATCTCTGATAACTTCACAACTAAAAATAATTGGGGAGAGAGGAATAAACAAAAGTTTGGAAAGAAGTGAGTTTAATGAAAAACTATTCACCCTCACTCTTCAAAAGTGAAGAAAAGAGCCTCCCTGATGGCACAGGTGTTAACGTCTCAGCACTATGAAGCTATCAACAGCCTCAGCAGCATGAGTTCAATTCCCAGCCAGGGAGCTAACCCACATAGTACAGCAGACCTCTCCTGTGTTATCGGCTGCTCCCCTCAGCAGTATAGTTCAGTAGATCTCCCTGTTCTGCTCCCCACTGTCTCTGGTGAATCCTTTCATGCCCTGCACCTCTGGCCTACACCCCAGTTCTTGTGTGCATAAATAAAAAAATCTTTAAAAAAAGAAAAAAAGAAAAAGGAGGAAAAACCAAAAAAAAAAAAAAAAAAAAAGTGGACAAAAATAAGCCAGCTATTAAAAGGTAAAGTTAAACTAATGGAACTCATTTCTCCAAATTTCTTCAATAGCAATCTTTTAAAAAATATAGTTCAGGGGGCCTCCCAGGTGGCGCAGTGGTTGAGCGCTGGGCTGCGAAGCTGCCCGCAGCCTCTGCAGCGCCAGTTTGATCCCCAGCCACCAGCAAGGGTCCCGCATGGCATGACAGACCTCTCCTGCCGCACCCGCTGCTACCCTCAGCAGTGTACTTCATCAGTCTGCCTGTTCTGCTCCCCGCTCTGGCTCTGGTGAATTCTCTCACCCTCCCGCACTTCTGATTATACCCAGTGCTTGTATAAATAAATAAATAAGTAAATCTTAAAAAAAAAAAAAAAAAATATATATATATATATATATATATATATATATATATATATATATAGTTCAGCAAGTCAAGAAACTAAATTTTCTAGACTCTAAATGTCCTATTTAGACTTAGAAAACCAAATTGCCAAAGTAAAAAGGAAGAGTAAAATAAAAGTATGTAAGTTTCCTTTGGCAAAAGTAGACTACAGCTAAAAAATTTTAAATCATAATTTCTAGTGGAAACATAGATTATAGAGTATCTAATGCTACTATAGAAATACGTACAACATATACAAAAATTTCGTTAAGTTTGTGCTTTTAAATTTTTGAATTTTCATATAAACCAAGCTCAAATTTCCTTTCAGAGTATAGCTTTTATACAGAAGTAATCTATTTTAACAATCCAGTAAAAGGGTTAGTAAAGTGGAGTTGTAAACACCTGGTTTGCCCTTTTCCACACCTACCATAAATCTTACTTTAAAAACATAAAACAAAAGAGGCAAGTAAAACATTGTAAGAGAAAGGAAAAGTAATCACATATGTATAGTATATTGTTCAGTTATTAAAATATTTATGTATACATTTAACTGTAAATATTGTACAAAGACCTAACCAAACAATGACACAACCAGAGTTGCAGGAGGGGAGAACAGAGATGGAAGATAGTAATATAGGCAAACCCTCATCTTCCTTAGCCAGAAGTTAGTGCATAACATCTAAAATTGAAAAATAAAAAGTACCAGAATAAGAATTTTTTTATAAATATGACATTTATGTCACAGATAAATGGAGGAATAAAAGTAGGGTCACCATTTATAGAAAGATTCTTCTTTCTCTGTAAAGAATAAAGAATGGCTTCAAAGGGAAAAAAAATGACAGGATATCAAAACATAAAATAATACTTTCTAATCAATTACTAAATATTTCCCTTTCTCACAGAAAAACAAGTTTCACAGATTTTTGAGTTTAGTGTAGGGGAAATCAGTGAAGAGAAATATTTAGATTCAAATTAATTTTGACTAGATTGCTATTACTATTAGGAAGAAATTAAGAAACACATTTTTTGTGTGTGCGTTTAATATATTTTACTTTATATAACTCTTACATCATTTTTGAATTTTGCACAAAGTATGCATTTTCATTTTGATTATATTCCCCATACAATTGTTCTTTCTTTTTTTTTTTTTTTAAAGATTTATTTATACAAGCACTGGGTACAGTCAGAAGCGCGGGAGGGTGAGAGAATTCACCAAAGCCAGAGCGGGGAGCAGAGCAGGCAGAACGACCGAAGTACACTGCTGAGGGGAGCAGCGGGCGGCAGGAGAGGTCTGCACGCCATGTGGGACCCTTGTCCCGTGGCCGGGGAGCAGCCAGGGATCGAACCGGAGCTGCAGAGGCTGCGGGCAGCTTCCCAACCCAGCGCTCAATCGCTGCGCCACCGGGGAGGTCCAATTCCCCATACATTTGTACCCCCCTTATTTTGACCCTAATCCCTCCTCTCTTCTCTTCCCCCCCCCCGCACTGTGTCTCTGGTTTATAGTTGCTTGTTGATTTTGACTTTTTCTTTATTATAATTAGTCTTTTTCCTGGTCCTTTATTTGGGTTTTCTAAACTCCTGCTATGAGTGAGACCATCTGGTATTTTTTTCTTTCTGGCTTATTTCGCTGAGTATGATCCCTTCCAGCTCCATCCACGTTGCTGCAAATTGCATGAGTTTATCTTTTTTGATTGCTGAGTAATATTCCATTGTGTATATATACCACATCTTGAGCCAGTCATAAGATACATATTTTAAAACAGGCTATTAAAGTATTATAGAATGAGACTAAAATTGTTCCACTCTGTTTTAAAGTTAAAATGTTTGTGTTGGCAGTGGGATAATCATGCACACATATATGTATTATGTATATGTGTTGATAAATACATATACATATTTCCTCCCTAATGTCCAAAAGACTAATCTGTAAAATTCACCAGTCAAAAGTTACCTAGACTTCCCAGACTTATCAACATTGTATCATTACAAACTACCAGTTTTTTCTAAACCATTAACTTATTCTAGAGATTACCTTCTTATTGGCCCAAATCTTGAGAATATTATCTCCAGATCTTCATCTGTGGTTACTGGATTCAATTTACATACAAACAACACATTTTCTGGAGGTTTAATATCTGCATCAGGTAGGTCTCCTACCTAAATTATAAACAAACAAGAATATAAATCATTTCCTTTATTTAAAATTGCATTCTAAATTGCAGGTCCAGGAAAAGAAATCTAAGAATTCAAAACTACATTGTTTCTAGGAATAACAATATTAACAGTCAATAGTTAACTCATTGCTACTTTGTGTGAACACCATGAGGCACTTCATTACTGCTAATTGTTAAAATGACTCTGCACATTTCCCTGCATTTTAAAGATGAGTAAAGTGAGATACAGAAAGTTTAGATAACTAACGTGCTCCAAGGTCAGAGTTGCAAGCCACAGAGCTGGGACCTGAACTCAGATCATTCTGCCTTTAAGGTCCCAATTTTATTGCTACTTTTTCTTTTCCCAAGTATTTGATATATTGAAAAAGAAATTTATGTAAAGTGTATCTATTTTTTTAAGACTTATTTTTATTTATTTATGCATACAAGAACTGGGGTGTAGGCCAGAGGTGAAGGGGGTAAGAGGATTCATCAGAGACAGAATGGGGAACAGAACAGGTGGATCCAGTGAAATACACTACTGAGGGGAGCAGCGGGCAAGACAAGAGAGGTCTGCTGTGCAATATGGGTGAGCTCCCTGGTCGGGGATCGAATTCATGCTGGGGATTGAACTCATGCTGGAGATCAAACTCATGTCACAGTGGCTGGCAATAGGTTGACAGTGCTGAGACTTAAACCCCTGTGCCACGTGGGAGGCCCCTGTAAAGTATATCTAAATTATGAAAAGAGAAAATTAAAAACACCATGGTGCCACCAACTAGCTTAAGAACTATAATGTCCCAGGCCTCCCTGATGGCACAAGGGGTTAAGCACCGCACTATGAAGCAATTCGCTGCCTCTACAGCACAAGTTCGATGCCCAGCTGGCCAGGGAGCAACCCACATAGCATAGCAGACCTCTCCTGACTTGCCCGCTGCTCCTCTCATTAGTGTATTTCAGTCAATCTGCCTGGTCTGTTCCCCACTCTGTCTCTGGTGAATTCTCTCACCCCCCCCGCATCTCTGGCCTGTACCCCAGCTCTTATATAAATAAATAAATAAATCCTTATTAAAAAAAAAAAAAGAACTGGGCCTCCCCAGTAGCGCAGCGGTTGAGCGCTGGGCTGTGAAGCTGCCCACAGCCTCTGCAGCGCCAGTTCGATCCCCTGCTGCTCCCCGGCCACCGGAGGAGGGTCCCACATGGCGCGCAGACCTCTCCTGCCGCCCGCTGCTCCCCTCAGCAGTGTCCTTCGGTCCTTCTGCCTGCTCTGCTCCCCGCTCTGGCTCTGGTGAATTCTCTCACCCTCTCACGCGTCTGACTGTACCCAGTGCTTGTATAAATAAATAAAATAAATGAATGAATGAATGATGAATAAATAAATAAATCTTTAAAAAAAAAAAAAGAAGAACTATAATGTCTCTTAATCCCATTCTCTCTCTGCCCTCTCAGCAGAAATAACAAACATTCTACTTTTCACTTTCCATTTTGGTCATTCCATTGAGCATGTATCCGTAGGCAACATATTGTTTAGTTCAGATTGTTTTTTAAACTTTTGAAATATACTGGACTGAATCTAGGCTTCTACAATTTATAACACTGCAATCTTTCCATATTATTTTTCACTGTGGAGCAGTAACAATTGCTAGAGAGCTTTTCTAGATTTTTACCTCATCCTTACTATCATCTTATGCTTTGGTCACACTGAAGTGAATTTCTCAGTTAACTACTGCACTTGTAGCACAACATGCCACTTCCTACTAAAGAGTCAGTGAAGGTGACAGAGGAAAAAAAAATACCACGATGATGATATTGGTTTCCCTAAGGGAAAACTACTATTTCCCATGAACCTTTAGATGAGAAAACAACTGTCCTTTATATCTATATTTGAAAACTTTCTGAGATGATTTCGATGAGGTTATCATGTAAATTACCTCCTCTTAGATAATCACGTAAACAAAACTTGAAAGTCAGAAATAGCAAGAAGCAACAGATATAAAGATGTGCTCAGTGTCTCTGAAGTCTATCAAAAGATATCAACAATAACCTATGTCCAGGGCCTCCCCAGAGGTGCAGCAGTTGAGCGCTGGGTTGCGAAGCTGCCCACAGCCTCTGCAGCACCAGTTCGATCCCCGGCCACTGGGTGAGGGTCCCACATGGCGTGCAGACCTCTCCTGCCACCCGCTGCTCCCCTCAACAGTGCACTTCATCAGTCCGCCTGCTTTACTCTCCGCTCTGACTCTGGTGAATTCTCTTGCCCTCCTACGCTTCTGACTGTACCCAGTGCTTGTATAAATAAATCATTAAAAATAAATAAATAATAAAAATGAAAAAAAAAAATAACCTATGTCCAATAAGCAGTATCCCAACAAGGAACACCAAGAAGAGCATATCAGTGAAAATTCCAAAATGCAAGCACCACATGGCAAAAATACCACATCTAAAGGAAGTACAAATAAGAAAAAAAGTTGAGTTTGAAAAGAATTTGCTATATTACTTAAAGATAACTTGAAAATACTATATCAATATTTCAAATATTTCTACCAACTATGATATTGGAAACTAATATTGCAAAATATTAATGGAATTGTTTATTATACACAAATGAATTAAGAAAAACTGACATTCTTAGAAAATAAAAGATGAAACCTGATATAGTGAGACTCAAAAGGGCCCAGGATGACCTGCTAAAATGGCTAAAATTCAAATACTGACAACACCAAATGTAAGCAAAGATGTGGAGCAACAGGGCCTCTCACTCACTGCTGGTGGGAATGCAAACCTGTGCAGTCACTTTAGAAGACAACCTGAAAGTTTCTTACAAAGCTAAACCATATAATCCATCTACTGTGCACCTACTAAACATGTTAAATGAGTTAAAAAAAAAAAAGAAAAAACTATATCCACCAAAAATCTACACAATGTTCAGAGTAGATTTATTCATACTTGTCAAAACTTGGAAAAGAACAAGGTTATCTTTTAACTTGGAAGAAGTTTCAATGCACATTGCTAAGTAAAAAAGTCAATCTGAGAAAGCCATTTACTATATATATTCCAACTATATGACATTGTGGAGAATATGAAACTACATAAACAATAAAAGATGACCAGCGATTGCCAGGGGGTGGGGGAGAGGGAGAGAAGAACATGAAGAGCACAGGTTTTTAGAGTATGAAACTATAATGCAGGATATATGGCCTTTGTCAAAATCCACAGGATATACAAGATAAAAAGTGTATTGGAGACTTTAGTTAATAATGTCTCAATATTGGCTCACTAGCTGTAACAGATGTATCATGTTAATGCAAGATATTAATAAAAGGGAAACTGCTGGGGAGGAGTGAGGAAGTATATAGGAACCCTATTTCCAGGCCATTTTTCTGTAAGCCTGAAACTGTGCTAAAAAATCAAGTCTATTTATTAAAAACAAAACAAAACAAGTCCATGCTGATAATATATATTCACTCAAGTCGTATTCTGGCTGTGGTTATATAACCTGAATCTAATCACCATCATCAGTAGTAGTCTACTGATGAGTAGTCTATAAATGACCTATATTCTTCAAAAATGTTAATTAAATGAAAAATAAAGACAGGTTAAGGAAGTCTTCTAAATATAACAGATGATCAACCATGAGCTGGATTCTAGATATTAAGGGAGAAGTTATAAAGGTTAATAACTGAAAAAACTATTATAGAAATAACTGGCAAAATTAGAAAATGAACAAAACTTTCTACCCATTTTAAATTTCCAGATTTGGTCACTCTGAATATATTATATAGTACCGCTGTTCTTAGGAAATACAGAGGAATTTAAAAGGTGAAAAGAAATGATATTTGTAAGTTATTTTCAAATGGCCCAGAAAAAAATAATATGCACGTGAGCATGTATAATCAGAAAAAGAGAGTGAGCAAGAATGAATGATCAAGAAGAAAAGGCAAAATGCTAAAAACTGGTAACTCTAGGTAGAAAGGTATATAAAGGTACAGTGGTCTTTGTAATTTTCCCACAGATTTGAAATTATTTGAAAACAATAAGTTTCAAAACTAAGCAAACCCATTTTCCTGCGGCACTGCCTATACTTCTGCTATTGAAAAATCTGGTAACAGGGGCATCCCTGGTGGCGCCAGGGGTTAAGATGCAAACTATGAAACTATCCGCAGCCACTGCAGCACGAGTTCGATCCCCGGCCCGCCAGAGAGCTACCCACATGGCGCAGCAGATCTCTCCTGTCTCGCCTGCTGCCCACCTGAGCACTGTATTTCAGTGGGTTTGCCTGTTCTGCTCCCCATTGTTTCTGGTGAATCCTCTCACCCCCTGCTCCTCTGGCTTACGTCCCAGTTCTTGTGTGCATAAATCTTAATAAATAAATAATGAATAAAAAGGCAACTGGCACTACATTGACAATGGAGACAGATTTGTTTACATAACCTATTATGGCATATAATATTTAATTTAGAAAAAAACTTGAATTTTTAAATATTTTAACACTATCAAAGAGCCAGAAATAAAATCACAATGAGTATGTTTTAAATATTGCAGAAATATTGAATAAACTAAAATAATGAATAAAAATCATCTCACCATTTCTAATAAAATAGCTTGAGTTTTGGCCTCTTTTTCTGCCTTTATTTCTTCTACTTCTTCAGCTGATCTTCCTTTGAAATCATCAATTTCTTCATCTGCTCCTATCCGGCCACTCTATAAGACAGAAATTACTCACATATCCTTAAAGAACAAAAAACCTGAGAATCATGGGAAACATCATGCACTATTTTTAATTCATCAAGTGTGTTAGAACAATTTATAAAACTCTAAAAATTGATTTAATTCAATAATATTTGCCAAACAGTACTTCTGATTTACTATAAATCAAAATTAAAATCTATATAGAAACGATCTGGTATCCAACTAAGTGTTGAATGCAGACAATAACTGACCTTAGAAATTAAGTCTCCAATCCCACTATGCAGGTAAATTTAGTAAGCAGAAATTTGTATCTTAAAAATATCTGGGGAAAAGTCTGTATTGTTGCACAGATTTCTGGATTTCAGCATGGCTCGAGTATTCCAATTGAAAAGATGAGTTTAAATTAATCTGAAAGCCATATTCCTATTTAGAGTTAGGAGGTAAGAAAAACATTATCCCAAGGTGTTCATATAAGCTTCTAGAACTAAGGCTATTAGCAGACAAAGGCTATTCTGGTGGAACAAAAAAAAAAAACCTTAGGGAAATAAAAAGAGAGCTAAAAAATCAGTATCTCTGGAAAAAGAACTCTAAACTTGTTCCAGTGTAACTGATCAAGCAAGATCATTATTGTGGGGGGGAAAAAAAAAAAAGTTCTAATAGACTAGAAAACTGAATCTGTGGGAAGTATTAATATTCACATACATTAAATCCCAAAAAGGCTACTCACATCTAGTTGTTCCCTTGTAGGTTCTGGTGATCGATCAGGAATTAATAGATCAGGAGGGTCATCAAATGGATCATCTAAAATCACTGTATGATTTATCCTTACAAAATAAATCCATATCAAGTATACATTTATTTCATATCCACATTTTGCTTTTTATAAAGATAGTAACAAATACCTTAAGTTTCTCTAACGCCAAAAACCCTGCAAGTTCTTCAGTTTTATTATACAAGGACATTACCAGAGTATACTTTCACAATTAGTAATGCTGTTTTCCATTTTTTGATATTATATTTATTATTCTTCATTATACAGAATATAATATGTCCAAATATTATATTTTGCCATATTTCTCAATAATCTACATTTAAAAATGAACTATTAATAATTTCTTCTAATATAAGCTATTATAAACTAGTACAACTATAAAAAGAGTATCTAAATTTGAACCATATTTTTTTTTTTAAGATTTTTTTTTTTTAATAGAGGCATGTTTTTATTTATTTATTTGTTTGTTTGTTTTTTTGTTTATACATGCACTGGGTACAGTCAGAAGCACGGGAGGGTGAGAGAATTCACCAGAGCCAGAGCGGGGAGCAGAGCAGGCAGAAGGACCGAAGGACACTGCTGAGGGGAGCAGCGGGCGGCAGGAGAGGTCTGCGCGCCATGTGGGACCCTCGCCGGTGGCCGGGGAGCAGCCGGGGATCAAACCGGCGCTGCAGAGGCTGCGGGCAGCTTCGCAACCCAGCGCTCAACCGCTGCGCCACCGGGGAGGCCCTAAATTTGAACCATATTTAAACTGCAGATTAAAATATGCTAGTTGGGGCCTCCCTGGTGGCACAAGGGATTAAGCACTGCACTGTGAAGCTATCCACAGCCTCTGCATCACGAGTTCGATCCCCAACCAGGCAGCTACCCACATGGCACAGCAGACCTCTCCTGTCTCACCTGCTACTCCCCTCAGCAGTGTATTTCAGTCAATCTGACTATTCTGCTCCCCACTCTGTCTCTGGTGAATCCTCTCACCCCCCCCCCACACCTCTGGCCTGTACCCCAGCTCTTACATGCATAAATGTTTTAAAAAAATAATAAAATATGCTAGTTAACATTATTAAGAGGCAAATCTATTTTACTCATTTAAAAATTAGTACAACTATAAAGAGACAAAAGGTCCTTTTATTATAAGGATTGTAAGAATCATGTATTCCATTCACATTTTGAAATGATGGCCTTTGCCATTACCACTATATGTCAACCATTACAGTCTTAAAATATCTAGTACATGTAGACAGTAAACTATAACTGGGCCTCCCTGGTGGCGCAAGGGGTTAAGCACCGCGCTATGAAGCAATCTGCAGCCTCTGCAGTACAAGTTCAATCCCCGGCCATCCAGAGAGCAACCCACATGGTGCAGCAGACCTTTCCTGACTCACTCGCTGCTCCCCTCAGCAGTGTATTTCAGTCAGTCTGCCTGTTCTGCTCCCCAGTCTGTCTCTGGTGAATCCTCTCACCACCACCCCCGCATCTCTGGCCTGTATCCCAGATCTTGTATGCATAAATAAATATATCTTTAAAAAATAAAAAAATTAAATATAATTAAAGGTATGAACAAAGCCTCCACTTTAAAAAAAAAAACAAAAAACTATAACCACACCTGATATCTTGATATGGTACAAAGTCCTTGTCAACAAAGGTCTCATTAATTTTCTTAATTATGTCCATGCCTTCTGTCACTTCACCAAACACTGTATGAACACCATCAAGGTAATCAAGATTATCTCCTGTAGTAATGAGAAACTATATAGGAAGACACAGAATAAATACAAATATATACCTATAATTAAAACAAATCAGTTACAGACTGGCAAGTACACAAAAGTAAGACTCTACCTTAACTGCACGGAACTTCACCCACTTGTTACTAATACTAAATAAAAAATACAAAGCTTGGGCCTCCCTGGTGGCACAAGGGGTTAAGACGCAACCAACGAAGCAATCCGCAGCCACTGCAGCACGAGTTCGATCCCATGTCAGGGAGCAACTCACATGGCGCAGCAGACCTCTCCTGACCTGCCTGCTGCTCCCCTCAGCAGTGTAGTCAGTCAATCTGCCTGTTCTGTTCCCCACTCTGTCTCTGGTGGATCCTCCCACCCCCCACGCCTCGGGCCTGTACCCCAGTTCTTGTATGCATAAATAAATAAATCTTAAAAAAAAATATATAAAACTTAAGCATAAAACAAATGTTTCCCTGCTTGCTTATAATATTCAAACTAATCAAGGTTTGGTTTCTTCATACGTAAACTGTGAAGAAAATAAAGAGCATCTACCCCAATGGGGCTGTCTGGGGATTAAACTAGACAGCAAATAAAAGGTGATCAATGTGTCTGGTTTAGAAACAAGTAATAGACACTAAAAGAAAATAGGCTACAGTGTGACAGTGATGTCCTATGGATACTGAGATTGTGCATAATGTTATTTTCTCCTTTGTACCTTTTTGTATTTTTTAAATTTCTCACAATGGACAAGTCTTACATTTAAAAGAACAAAAGAATAGAGGTTTTTTCAGTGCAAAAAATGGTGCAATCTCTTCCTTCTAACGAAGATGTTTGATTGAAATTTCTTTCTTACTGGATAGTTTTTCATTTTTATTTTTTTAAAGATCCATTCATTTATGCATATAAGAACTGGGGTACAGGCCAGAGGTGTGGGGCTTGAGAGGATTCCCCAGAAACAGAATGGGTAACAGAACAGGCAGATTGACTGAATACACCGCTGAGGGGAGCAGCGGGCGAGTCAGGAGAGGTCTGCTGTGCCATGTGGGTAGTTCCCTGGTCGGGATCGAACTCATGATGCAGTGGCTGTGGACAGCTTCATACATTGCAACCGACCATTTGAGCCACCAGGGAGGCCCCTTACTGGACAGTTTAAAAAGGTAACTTTTGGCGGGGCCTCCCTGGTGGTGCAAGGGGTTAAGTCTCAGCACTGTAAAGCTATTCGCAGCTACTGCAGCATGAGTTCAATCCCCAGCCAGGGAAGTGACCTACATGGCACAGTAGGCCTCTCCTGTTTCGCCCGTTGCTGCCCACAGCAGTGTATTTTAATCATTCCGCCTGATCTGTTCCCCACTCTATCTCTGGTGTGAATCCTCTCACCCCCACCCTAGCACCTCTGCCTTGTACCCCAGTTCCTATGTGCATAAATTTTTTTTTTTTTTTAAAAAAGGTAACTTTTTCAACATCACTTGCCATCAGGGAAATGCAAATCAAAACTACCATGAGATACCATCTTACACCAGTGAGAATGGCACATATTAAAAAAACTAGCAACAACAAATGCTGGCGAGGGTGTGGAGAAAAAGGAACTCTTCTGCACTGTTGGTGGGAGTGCAAACTGGTCCAACCACTGTGGAGAGCTGTGTGGAGATTTCTGGACCTACTAAACATAGAGCTTCCATATGATCCAGCAATTCCACTCCTAGGTATTTACCCAAAGGACACAGAAACATCAATTCCAAAGAACACCTGCACCCCTATGTTTATAGCAGCACTGTTTACAATAGCTAAGCTTTGGAAACAACCCAAATGCCCAAAAATAGATGACTGGATCAAGAAGATGTGGTACATATATACCATGGAATATTACTCAGCATTCAAAAAAGATAAACACATGCAATTTGCAGCAACATGGATGGCGCTGGAAGGGATCATGCTCAGCGAAATAAGCCAAAAAGAAAAAGAAAAATACCGGATGGTCTCACTCATAGCAGGAATCTAGAAAACTTAAATAAGGGACCAGGAAAATGAATAACTATAAGAAAGTGAAAATCAAAATCAACAAAAAACTATGAACCAGAGACACTTTTAGGGGGGCGGGGGCGGGAGGGGAGGGATTGGGGTCAGAATGGGGGGGCTGCAATTGTATGGGGAATATAACAATAAAATTTATAAAAAAAAAAAAAAATAAAAAAAAAATAAAAAAGGTAACTTTTGAAGGCTCTTTCCCGTCCTTTATTTTAAAGCAAAACTCATCATTATCCATGTCCTGACCTGAGATCCATGCTGGTCACTGCCATTGTTCACCATGGAAACAGTGCCTTTCTTCTTGTGCTTAATTCTTGGCACTTTTTCTGCCTCGAAAAAGCTTGCTTGATCTCCATACAGTTGACTGAAAGCACATATAATAAGGTTATAAAATACAAGTGTAAGAGTACTAGTAACATATCCAGCTACCATTTCCTTGTAGAAATGCCACTATGATTCAAAATACTCATTTTTTGCTATAGACATGTAGAAAATTTGGTGGTGGGGCACAAAAAACAGTTTTAAGCAAGTAAAAGAAGTTAGTATAATTTCTTTGAACCATATTTAAAAAGCAGGGCCTCCCTGGTGGCACAAGGGGTTAACCACCACACTATGAAGCAATCCACAGCCTCCCCAGCCAGCCAGGGAGCAATGGCGTAGCAGACCTCTCCTGTCTCACCCGCTACTCCCCTCAGCAGTGTGTTTCAGTCAGTGTGCCTGTTCTGTTCCCCACTCTGTCTCTGGTGAATCCTCTCACCCCCTACATCTCTGGCCTATACCCCAGCTCTTGTATGCATATATAAATAAATCTTTTTTAAAAAATGCAGATTAAAATATGCTCGTTAACATTATTAAAAGGCAAGTCTATTTTACTCATTTAAAAATAAAAGAACTTACCCAAAAACAGACTCTCCTCCACGACCAGTCCCTGTAGGGTCACCAGTTTGTATGATGAAATCCCTCTATAATATATAGGATAGTTTGTCAATTCAGAAGGTTGCTAGATGGTTTTAATAACAAAAGACATGACTAATATCAACCAACTCACCTGTACATTATGAATAAGGCAATAATTATAATATTTTATTTTGCACAGCTTCAGGAAATTCAAGCAGGCTGGAAGAAAGAAAATACTAAATTTATCTTAGTAATTCATAAAAACATTGTTAAACAAGTAAAAAGAGTATAATTTATATCATCACACAAAACCCCTCAAAACAGTCAAATGTCCAAAATCATAAAAAGGCAGTAATACTCGAAAAAGGGCACTATATCTTAAAATTATCTTTTTATTCTCTTTTTCTGAGGATTTCTTCATCATCTGAGCTGAAACAGGACATACAGGTATCTGGGAGTACACATGCACTTATGGATGGATTGGTTTTATGAGGAAAAAAAGGAACAATTAAAAAGGGGATATCATTACAGGAAAGGATGTAACAGAGCATCTGAAAACATAAGTTACAGAAAATTAATTATCTGGTACCAAGTTGTTTTTACAAGTATTAAGCAGTCCTTAACGAAAATCCATATACTTGTCATCTATCACTTTCCTCATAGAAATTCACTTGCTTGTCCAGTAAACATTGACAGAGTATCTTCCAGGTGCTTAGCACAGCTATCACAAATGCCATCAGCTGCAGCCTCTGCCCTCAATAAGTTCATAGTTGTGGAGAAATGCTAACAAATTCTCAAGGCTCCAAGGCAGAAACAGGACAAACTGAAAAAACATGAGACTGTCCCAACCCTCAAGAAACTTATACTAATCCAAGGTCCTGAAAACAAATAGTTACGTACTGGGCATGTCAGATAATACCATTTGTACTCAAACAGTAAAATGGTAAGAAGTGATTTTTAAAGTGGCACAAGACTTCAAAACAAAAATTATTTTAAGTAGAACATTAGAAGATTTCATTGAAGTTTAAGGTAAGCATTACAAGAACTGGTTGAGCAGAGAGTACTTAAGATAGGACATTTTTTAAAGCCTGAAAGTGGGAATTTAAATGTTTTTTAATTCCCCAGTATTAGAGCAAGAGAGAGTAAAAAGCTGGAGAGGTAAAGTGGGGTCAAGCTATTAGAGGGTCTTAAATACTAGGGTTTCAGTTGTTTTTCTATAATAAGGTATTTCTTGGCTTAGAAACACACAAGAGCAGTTGGGTTTTTTTTTAACCAGAAAACAAAAATCATTGATCTAGTCAGTTATCATCAATGCTGCCAAAATCCTTGGATAAAGAGCTAACGGGAACACTTTCATAAAGGTTCAGGTGGATAAGCCTGAACCCACTAACCAATTTTAACATCACTAATAGCCCACCACATATCAAATAGCTCCTAGAGGTGAGCCATTGAAAGTAGACTACTTCCTAGGAATAATCTCGCCCAAAACAATAAACTTGAATCTGACCAAGGCTCTAAATCTAAGTAGCAATCAATGAGAAATAGAAGGAATGGAAGAATAAAAGATACACAGATAAAAATCAGTCAAATCCAAACTGAGGGAAATTTCTAAGACAAAGGCCCAGATCACAAAGAAAATAAAAGGGGGTGGGGCCTAGCAGCTAAAAGATGGTTAGGAACTATAGCAACCAACATAATAAATGGACATAGGGTTTCTTATAAAACGAAACACATTCTTAACCACACAATCCAGCTATTATGTTCCTTGGTATTCGCCCAAAGGAAATGAAATCTTAACACAAAAACCTGCACGTGGGTCCTCCATAGTGGCCCAGCCAGGGAGCTACCCACATGGTGCAGTAGACCTCTCCTGTCTCGCCGGGCTGCTCCCCTCAGCAGTGTATTTCTGTTAGTCTGCCTGCTCTGTTCCCTACTCTGTCCACACCTCTGGCCTATACTCCAGTTTTTGTATGCATAAATAAATAAATCTTTTTTAAAAAAACCCTGCAAGTAGATATTTACAGTAGTTTTATTCATAATTGCCTACATTTGGAAGCAACAAAGAAGTCCTCCAGTATGTTATAGATATAGTACATTCAGACAACAGAATATTATTTGGTGCTAAAAAGAAATGAGCTTCGACATGGAAAAAACTTAAATGCATATATACTATTAAGTGAAAGCAGCCAAACTGAAAAAGTTATAGATTCCATCTAAATAACATACTAGAAAAGGTAAAATCTTAGAGATAATAAAAGATCAAAAGGAGCCAGGATGGGACTCCCTAATGGAGCAAGGGCTTAAGCGTCAGCACTATGAAGCAATCCACAGCTACTGCAACAGGAGTCCGATCCCCAGCCAGAAAGGTGACCCACATGGTGCAGCAGACCTCTCCTATCTCGCCCACTGCTCCCCTCAGCAATGTATTTAAGCCAATTCGCCTGTTCTGCTCCCCATCTGTCTCTGGAAAATCCTCTCACCACCCCTATACCACTAGCCTGTACCCCAGTTCTTGTATACATAAACCTTTAAAAAAAAAAAAAAGGAGCCAGGATTTGGGGGGAGTGGGATGAACAGGCAAATCACAGAGGATTTTGGGGACAGTGAAACTATTCTGTACGAAACTGTAATGATGGATAGATCTACCCATATCTAGAGACTGTACACCCAATGTGTCCTGAAATGATCTATGGACTTGGGGTGATTATGATATGTCAGTTTAAGTCCATCAATATCAATGTACCACTACAGTATAAATGTACAATGTCACAACATAAGTGTATACTTACAGTGGAGGATGCAGTGCATGTGTGGAGGTAGGGATATATGGGAAATCTCTGCATCTTCCCCTCAATTTTGCTATGAATCTTAAACTACTATCAAAAAACAAAGAAGTTTTTAAAAGGAAGTAAGAGTCTATAGATAGAAAGATATTTAAGAGATATAACAACCAATATACCATGTGACCCTTATTTGGATCCTAACATAAAGTACCAAATATTTTTTAATGTTTATGAGACAATAGGAAAATATAAACTATAGCAAGGAGTTATTGCTAAATTTTTCAGATAGTAATATACGGTTATGTTTTTAAAGCATCTTTTAGATAAACAAATATATCCAGTGGAGGTAGGCACATTAGACTCATTACAAGAGTCTTTCTACTTCTATGTTTAAATTTTCTCTAATATAAAGTAAAAAAAAGGAATGAAAGGGGAGAGAGTGAGGAAGGAAAATAATTCTGGATGTTTACTATAGGTTGTATTTATTTATACAAGTAGATAACCAATCACATATTTACAAATATAAACAAATGAAGCCGATTTAGGATTTTAGTGTTCCAGCTATCTTTGTAGAAACACTGCTTGTCCATTCTGTGTTCATTAGGTAGTGATGAACCGCCTCTTCACCTCCTCACAGCCCTGGGGAAAGATAACTCTGCTTGGGAACAAAGGAGAGCTTCACAGGGCCTCCCCGGTGGCGCAGCGGTTGAGCACTGGGTTGCGAAGCTGCCCGCGGCCTCTGCGGTGCCGGTTCGATCCCCGGCTGCTCCCCGGCCACTGGAGGAGGGTCCCACATGGCGCGCAGACCTCTCCTGCAGCCCGCTGCTCCCCTCAGCAGTGTACTTCGGTCCTTCTGTCTGCTCTGCTCCCTGCTCTGGCTCTGGTGAATTCTCTCACCCTCCCGCGCTTCTGACTGTACCCAGTGCATGTATAAACAAAACAAACAAACAAACCAGCAAACAAATAAATAAAGCATGCCTCTATCAAAAAAAATAAAAAATAAAAAAAAACAAAGGAGAGCTTCACAGAAGAAAACATGCTTGATCAGAGATTTGAATAATTAGCAGAAAGTCTGCCAAAAGGAAGGTGGAGAGAAAAGTGGGGTAAAGGCAATGGTATGAAATATGTATGGCTGAGTAAACTGTTTGCCAGGGGAGAGTCAAGTGTGGGCAGCTGTAGCTCATTTCATCCTTTTTGATAAACTCTGCATTCCTTGGGAGGGGTAGAACACTGATTGTAACTAACCTCTCCTGGCCTCCATTTCGTCCCTATTGTGATACATTCGCCACAATGCTGCCTCTTATCGTCCTGAAATAACAAGTTCGCCAAACCTCAATCCTGCTCTTCAAGAGTTCAAGACTCGTCCTCAGCAGAGCACCTAAAACTATTCACAATCTGACCTAAACTACATAACGTATACGACCAGGCTATATAAGAACACTCTGCCATTGCACTTTACACACCACTCTTTCAAACCACGCCTAACCACTAGCAGAAATTCCAACCTTTATCCGCACTCCTCCTTGCAAGAGCTAGTTCAAGGTTTCTGCATTCTTCGCTAGCTTCCTTTCTCCCCACCCCCAAGCAGAAAGACGCCCTCCTCCGGTTTCCATGGCAACTTACACATTCTTCTACGACACTTAAAAGTTAAATGGATTGCCGCGTTTATTTCCTCCAGTGGAAGATCAGATCCTCAAGGGTAAGTCTCTTATCAAGGGACATCAAGACACCGAGCCTTGCAGAGCAGGGACGCAATGAGTGTTTCCTAAGGTTCGGTGCACACCTGCCGACAGCCTGTCCTCCATCCAGGCGAAACGCCCACACCCACTGCTGCCTGCACATCCTCCAGCTCCCACCGAGATTTACCGGCTACACATCAAGGAACAGTGGTTGTGTTCTAGAGGAAAGCTCAGCACAGTCATAAAAGCCATGGGCATTACATATGCACACTGCATCCCGCGCGCGCGCGCGGACACTCATGCCCATGAGCACTCGCCACCCGAGGGGACAGCACAAGACTCAGGAGACCGGCGGCTTCTCAAAAAAAACTTTTCGATTCAAGGCCTCTAACCAAGCCGGGTCGCAGGCACCACTCGCCCCAAAGCTGCACCCAGTCGACGCCCGGGGGCGGGCAGAGAAAGGGGGCGGGAAAGGAGATGGCGGCCCGGCGGGAGGTGAGGGGGCCCGGGCCTCACCGCGCGGCCGTTCCTCGGTGTACAAGTCGATGACGACGTCGCCCAAAGTGGTCTCCAGCAGAACCGCCATGGCGCCCGCTCCTCCTCTGCAACAAGCCGGGGTGACAAGCGCAGCCCGGCGTCGTCGACGCCTCGCGTCACCGGTGCGCGACGCCTACGTCATCCCTCCAGCGACACCGCCCTTCCCGGCGCCCCGTCGGGCTGGCTGCGGGTGCGGCCGCCTGCTCGCTCTCCAGCGGTGCCCGCCCGCTCTCCAGCGGTGCCCGCCCGGCTCTCCAGCGGTGCCCGCCCGGCTCTCCAGCGGTGCCCGCCCGCTCTCCAGCGGTGCCCGCCCGGCTCTCCAGCGGTGCCCGCCCGGCTCTCCAGCGGTGGCCGCCCGGCTCTCCAGCGGTGGCCGCCCGCTCTCCAGCGGTGCCCTCCCGGCTCTCCAGCGGTGCCCGCCCGGCTCTCCAGCGGTGCCCGAGCGTCCCACCCGCGGCGCCGCCCTTTGGAAAGAGCCTCGCCATCGCCCCCCGCCCCCGGCGACTGGCGCGGACGCCTGTCGCTCAGGAGACCTCCAGCGCTGTGCCGGCTCGTGTCCAGCCCAAGTTGCGGGTGGACCTACGAGCCGCCCTTTTATGCACCGCCTGGCCCGTCAGGCGTAGCCACAGAGCAACCGGGCGCCACCGTCCCCGCCTTTGTGTTGAGAAGATTCTTCAGGGTTTCCTAAGCCGCCTCTTCTTGTCGCCCTAAATCAGAAACTTTAAAGTGTAAATGTTCGATTTGCTACCCAGAAAGCTGATTGACAGGGAGTTCTTTAGTGACGAATCATGTTCAGAGACTACCTGTTACAGCCGAAGGCGGTGGATCCTTAGTGCGACCACCTGAAAAACGGAGTTGACGTCCAGAGGGTTGCAAGAACACTGTAGCTGGCTGGAAAGCAGGACATGTCACCCGCGTCTTCATCTGCCTTGTCCTTGGACTTTGTTGAAATCCTTTTAACATCAATCTTTTCAGTAGATATTGGTATGGTGTTTTGTTTTGTTTTCACCAGCACACCGCAAGTTTATTAAGGAAAGGATGGTATAGTGTTTTTAATGGTAGGCTTAATGTTATTTATGTATGTATATATGTATGTATGTAGGCAAACAGGTTAGGAGTAATTGTAATTGAAAAGATAATCTGTTACCCACCTTTTTTTTTTGGGGGGGGGGGTCACATCACGGTGAAAAAGGACCACACAGGACAGTACCAGGTTCTGGAGGCAGAAGGAGGGAAGGGAAAGCATAGAAACGAGTCTTTATTGTTGTTTCTGTGCAGAAGGCAACACAAGGTAGGCTAGGCATAGAATTAGCTGTTCTGAATAATCACAGTGGGCTACCTCTGTTTGTCTTTGTACCTAGCTTTGGGATCATTAGAAAGAGGACTTGCTTCTTGGAGTTTAAGAACCCGACAGAAGTGGTGATTGGAAGTATAGGGTCTGGAGTGGTGGGTTTGCATATGAAAGGTACTCTGCCTAATGAATTTTACTATCTCTAGGAATTAGCTAGCCCTGGAAGGGGCAGTCTCCAGGATCATCCAGGCATCAGAGCATCAAGAATGCAGAAAATAAAGTTAACACATGGACATATTCTTTCGGCATTATATAATCTATATGATGCCCATTATTTTTTGCATGTAATGAAGTAGAAGATGAGCAAGCTATATGCCAATATCCTAGTGAATCAAATAAAGTAACAACTCAGAAGAAGAAAATCTGTACCCAAATGCTGGAAACCCACTGAAGTCAGAGGAAAGACATACTGCATTCTGCTTCTACTACCACATGGAGGCCTCTTCCATTCTAAAAGGGGATTAAGAGCTCAAAGACAAATGAAAATAGGACCTTACTACAAAAAAACACCTACTCATCTGGGTTACTGAATATGAAATCATCCCTAAATAAGTTCTCAAAATGATTTCTATCTCTATTTATTTCTCCTTGCAATAGTTGTCCCAAATAATCTTATTTCTTTGAAGAGTTAACATTGTTAAAATGGCCACTCTACCCAAAACAACATACAGATTCAGTGAATCCCTATCCAAGTTCCAATGGCATTCTTCAGAGAAACAGAACAGACTATTGAAATGCATATGGAGCCACAAAAGACCCGAAATAGCTAAAACAACCCTAACAAAAAGGAGTGTCAGCAGTATCACACTCCCAGATTTTAAACTACAAAGCTGTAATAATCAAAACAATATTCAAACAATAGTCAAAACAATACCAGTACACATTGGAACAAAAACAGACACAGACCAGTGAAAAAGAATTAAGAGTCCAGGGACTCCCTGGTAGCACAAGGTGTTAAGTCTCAACCCTATGAAGCTATTGGCAGCCACTACCGGACAAGTTTGATCCCCTGCCAGGGAGCTAACTTACACAGCACAGCAGACCTCTACTGTCCTTCTCGCTGCTCCCTTCAGCAGTGTATTTCGGTAGATCCACCTGTTCCTGCTCACCACTGTCTCTGGTGAATCTTCTCACCCTCTTGCACTTCTGACTTACACTCCAGCTCTTATATGCATAAATAAATTAATCTTTAAAAAAATTAAGAGTCCAGAATAAACCCACATATCTATGGACACATGCAAAAGAATAAAATTAGATCACCACCTCACACCTTACACAAAAATTAACTCAAAATGAATTAAAGATGGATATAGGGGGCCTCCCCGGTGGCGCAGCATTTGAGCACTGGGTTGCGAAGCTGCTCGCAGCCTCTGCAGTGCCAGTTCAATCCTGGCCACCGGAGGGTCCCACATGGCGCGCAGAACTCTCCTGCGGCCCGCTGCTCCCCTCAGCAGTGTACTTCAGTCTGCCTGCTCTGCTCCCCGTTCTGGCTCTGGTGAATTCTCTCACCCTCCCGCGCTTCTGACTGTACCCAGTGCTTGTATAAATAAATAAAAATAAAAAATCTTTTTTTAAGAAAAAAAGATGGATATAGGACCTAAAACTCTAAGATATTTTGAAGAAAAAAAAAAGGTAAATCACTCCATAACATTGGCTTCAGAGATATCAATGGCAAAGAAACAAAAGCAAATATAAACAAATAGGGTTACATCAAACTAAAAAGCTTCTGCACAGTGAAAGTAAACAAAAAAGACACCCTACTGAATGGAAGAAAAGATATGCACATCATACATCTGACAAAAGACTAATATCCAAAATATATAAAGAACTCACAGAACTCAACAAAAAGAAAACTATTAACCTAACCAAAAAATGGGCAGAAAAGCTTAGTAGACTCTCCAAAGACATACAGATGGCCAATAGGCACATGAAAAAATGCTCATCATCTTTTATCATTAAGGAAATGCGAATCAAAACCACCATGAGATGCCATCTCATACCTATGAAAATGGCCCATATCAAAATGCAAGAAACAACAAATGTTGGCAAAGGGAAAAGTAACCCTTGTACAATGTTGGTGGGTATATAGACTGCTGTAGTCCCTAATGGAAAGACAGTGTGGCGGTTTCTCAAAATACTGAAAATAGATGTACTGTATGACCCAGTAACTCCACTCCTACATATCTACTCAAATAATGCAAAAAACTAATTTAGGGATATGTGCGCTCCTATGTTCACTGCAGCACTATTTACAATAGTAATGTTATGGAAACAACCTAAGTGCCCAAGGACAGATGAGTGTATCAGAAAAATGTGGTGTATATAAAAAAAAGGATGAACTCTTGCCACTAGTGACAAAATAGAACTGGAGGGGATTATGCTAAGTAAAATAAGTCAGAAGGAGAAACAAATACTGGATGATTTCACTTTATGTGGAATATAGAGAAACAAACAAACAAAGCATCAGATAAAATTAATAACAAACCCATAATATCTGACTGCAAAACTGAGGCAACCAGAAGGGGAAGAAACGGGATGGGAATTGGGGATGGAGGAGTACTGGAGTTTTGGTGGTGGGCTTGGTGTGAAAATATATTTGCAGGAGTTTGAATCTACAATTCCTAAAACAAATACAATGATGGAAACCAACTTTAGCTCAATAAACAGAATCGGAAAAAAATTTAAAAGCTTTTTCTATAAACCAGTAGAGTGTAGTAATTCAAAATGTCAGGGCAAAAAACGTGGCCTGTAACTTACTTTCTTGTTACTCGGGAAAATAGCTTAAACTCTATAAATCTCTAATTTGTGTTTTTAAAAAATGGGATCATAAGGCCTCCCTGATGGCGCAAGGGGTTAAGTTGCAGCATTATGAAGCTATGAGCAGCCACTGCAGCATGAGTTCAATCCGTGGCCAGGGAGCTAACTATATGGCGTAGCAGTCCCCTCCTGTCTTGCCCGCTGCTCCTCTCAGCAGTGTATTTCAGTCAACCTGCCTGTTCTACTCCCCATTCTGTCTCTGGTGAATCCTCTCACCCCACCTCCATACCTCTGGCCTATACCCCAGCTCTTGTATTCATAAATAATCTTTTAAAAAATGGGATCATAAATTGGTATGTTGTTGTGAGGGTTAAATACACATTAAAGGTTAAAAAGCCTTTAACAAAGTAAATGTTAGCTGGTACAGCAATGATATTTCTATGACTAGATGTCCATCATACCAGAAACACGACTCATCATCACAGGTGGAATGAAATTCTTTTCTTAGTGCACTGACAAGAAAGTTATAGTAAAATCTTTTAAAATAACTTAGAAGAAAAATAAGGTAATATTTGGGGATGTCTTTTTCCTTGCTCTTTTGTCACAGGAAATTTAAAAATGTAGTTTACCTTTTCCAGCAATGATGACCTCCCCATGAGAACATGCCTCTCTGAAAGCATCTCCTTCATCCCTCTTGAGGAGAGAACAGGAAACACAAGAAGCACCTGGTGCTGAGCCCAATTCCTATTTGAAGGATGTGAAATGTCCAGGATGCTATAAAATCATCACCATAGCACAAATTGTAACATTGTGTGTTGACTGCTTCAATGTCCTGTGCCAGTCTATAGAGGAAAAGCAAGGTTTACAAATGAAACTCCTTTAGACAGAAACAACAGTAAAAGCACCCTGAATCAAGATGAATTCGAAGCCATCCCTATAAACACATTTTGGTCCAAAAAAGTATGTAGTTGACTCTGGAAATTAATGAAGTAGATAGACATGCAATGACTCACTCCT